GAAACCTAACGCTGTCTATGTTTTCTCTTTCCTTCTTTCTCTCGTCATGGACGACGACACCTATCGCCGTCCATATTCTCTCTTTCTCTCTCTCCTGTCATGGACAGCAAGACCAATCGCCGTCCATGTTCTCTCTTTTCTCTCTTGTCATAGACGGCGAAACCTATCGCCGTCCATGTTCTCTCCTTCTCCTGTCATGGACGGCGGGACCAATCGCCATCCATGTTCTCTCTTTCTCTCTCTCTTATCATGGGCGGCAGAACCTATCGTCGTCCATGTTCTCTTTTCCCTCCCTCTCCTGTCATGGACACCATCTTCGTCCGTGTTCTCTTTCTCTCTCCCTTTCCTGTCATGGACGACAGGACCCCAGCGCTGCCCATGCTTCTGTCTTTCTTCTCTCTCCCTTGTCATGGACGGCAGAACCCTATTGTCGTCCATGCTTCTTCCTTCTTTCTCTCTCCTCTGTCATGGATGGCGGAACCCCATCGTCGTCCATGCTTCTCGCCCTTCTCTTTCTTCTTCTTTTTCTTCCTTCTTTCTTCCCTCCCTCTCTTATTTCTCTCTCTTCTTTCCTCTCTCTTCTTCTGTCTTCTCTTTCTCCTTTTTCTCTCTTCTTTCTCTGTCTCCTTTCTCTTTCTTCTTTCTTCCCTCTCTCTTCTTTCTATCTTCTTTTGCTCTCTTTTTTTTCTCTATTCTTGTTTCTCTCTCTTCTTTTTCTCTCTTCTTCTTTCCTCTCTCTTCTTCGTTCTTCTCCCTCTTCTTTCTTCTCTCTCTCTCTTCTTTATCTCTCTTTCTTCTTCCTCCTCTTTCTTCTCTACTCTTCTACTCCCTACTTCTCTTTTTTTCTCTCTCTTATGTCTTCTCTCTTAATCTCTCATCTTCTTCTCTCTCCTCCTCTCTTTTACTCTCTTCTTCTCTCTCATTCTTTCTTACCACTTACTTTCTCTTCTCTTTTATTTTTCTTCTCTCTATTTTCTCTTCTCCCTCTCATTATTCTCTCTCTTCTTTCTTCTTTCTGTCTCATTTGTCTAAGGGAGGCTAAGACTAGCACTGTTATAGTGGTTTTGCCATCGAGTAGTATTGCCTCCGTATCGGTCTAAGTTACTGTGTCTGTATTGCTGCCGCGACAGGTTAGCCATTGTGCCAAGCTAGACGGTGTTGGGCTTGTCGTCAAGTAGTATTGTCGTCGTGCCGATCTGAGTTACCATGCATGTCTTGCTACCACGCTAGGTTAATCATCATACTGGTTTAGCGACTACGTTAGTCTAGTTACCCAGTCAAATGTCTCTTTCTTCTCTTCTCGTTTCTCTATTTTATTTCTCCCTTCTCCTCTTATCACCACAATCTTTATCTTATTCTTTCCCTTTCTTTCTTGAATGCGCACGCTTGTGTGCCTTCGCTCAAAGACAAGGTGGGGTCCCTCGGCCCACTTGTCTTGTAAATTAGTCGTGTGTGTGATTGCAGAAACAGGAGAGTACAGGTCAAGGTAGGTGATTTAGAACCAATTGTTGGACTAGGGCGCTTTTCGTTGTGATCTAAGAGGCGCCCACCCGAGTCAGCCCGAGTGAGTCACAGACCCAGGTGAGGTGTGTCCCGCCTCAAGTCAAATTCCTCTCGCACCGGTTGGTGTACCTGCCCTTGTTTCTTAATAAGGTTCCCGAGAGAGCGGTCTCAAGTCTCGGGTTCTCCTTGAAACCCGAGACACATGCCACCATGTCATCTTGACCCGGGGGAGAGATCGATGCATCTAACCAGTACCTTACTTCTATAGTATATGGTTGACATCTTATATAAGTGTTTTCCTTTTTAGGGAAACCGCAAAACAAGCTATGTGTACCTTATATTTATATTTGCAGGGCTGCCGATGTGCCTTGTTGCTTGATGCAATATTATCACATTCTCTTCTCTACTTGTTAAATGGCCGCTTCAGGCCCTAAACCAAAGCAATGCTCAAGCCGCACCCCCCCCCCCCCCCCCCCCCTTCCCCATTAAAATGGCTATAATAGTAAGATTTTCAAAACCCACCCCCATACATATAAGCAGCCATAAACTATATATGAAATTTCATTATACTCATAATATTCATAATTTTATAATACATAAATTTAGAAAAGTGTCAAGTTATACATTTTTTTTTTAAGTTTTTAAATGTATGTCTGAAGACTTTCCTTAGAATCTCAAAAAAAATGAAGTGTTTCAGTTTTCTGTCGGTTGTGAACTTGATAACATTGACTTGACGTACTTCTTTGAATTCTATTCCTTATTAATTTATTAAAAAATATGAAATATTTTTTATAGGACTGTAGCCCTATCAAAAATAAGTAAAGCCTTGCTACAAAACTCACTGAAATTTGTAGGTCTAGTGTCACCAAGCATTCAGATCAATAATCTCGGTCTTCACCATTATGGTTATAAAAAAATTTAGGATTTCAAGCCCTAAAAATAGTGTATATCATAACACATTACCTAGACGGTCAATTTTGCCCTAAATAATTGTTCATGGATCCGTAATAATTGTATTATGTTTTGAGCTTCAAATTTCATTATCCGTATTGGACATTGATTTTAGAGTCATCATGGATATTTTTTTATGCCCAAAGTGCTTCTCGAGTGAGGATACAAGATGAGGCGTTACTTTGTTTCCATAAAGCCTAGGTCTTATAAAAACTACATCTTAAAAAAAATTTCTATATATTCTATAATATATATTTTATGGGTGAGGCTTGTATAAGGTATCAACCTTATAATATTGAAGTAAGGTCTCCTTCATAACTATGCTAAAAATGCAGTTTTAGTGCCGCAAAGCCATATGATGATATGAAAGTCTATTGTTGCCTCCAATTATGAAATTTAAAGATTAAGAAATGGTGACGATCAAGCAAATCTTCAAACATTTGAAAATCTTGCAAATAGATGGTCCATATAATGTGTTAGAAGATGAACTATTTTTAGGGCTAGACATTGACCTGGACCAAGTTCAGGTCGACCCGCCAGGACCGTGGGTCACAACCCAACCCAACTCAATTGCGAAAAACACTACCCTGACAGTGAGGCCTTAGCAGAAATAAAGAGAACAAGAAGGGGTGAGTAAAGAAAGGGCCAAAACAGTAAATGTACAGTACGACGGCACGGGAGCCTACTACAGACTGTCAAAAGACGAACGAAATAGTTAGCGTAAAATGTAGTTGTCCAATTACTTAGAGATGCTCTGGCACATTCAATACGTTTGCGACTATTTCTTTTTTTTTTGAAAAAAGTTTATATAGAATCAAGGCTCCAAACAATCAAATTAGAGCGTACCTCAAAAATTTCACTAGAAGATGCTATTTTGATATCAAAATATCCTCAAATTGATCATCTCGACATCAAAATGTATGGGCATGAGAAAAAAATAGATTTCAAGTTTTGGAAATAGTGAATCTTGCAATGCATTTTTGGACAGTCAATTTTCAAGATTTTCAAGTTTTCTTAGATCTGCTCGATCTACACTATTTTTGAAGCTTTAAATTGTATAATTAGATATGAAATTATATTTTAAAGCTATCAAAAAAATTTCTAGAAGTGAAACTACAGTTCACAATACTATTTGAAGGTGCGCTCTACTTTGATTGTTTAGAGCCTCGGCTCTATACTCCACCTTCTTCTTTTATTTTATTTATTTATTTATTTATTTAATTCTTTCAAGAAATTATACCATAACATAGATGTTACACGGCTGACTATTGACCATCCGATCCGTTGGAACGGACGGCGGAGATCAAGCATACTCGATACTCCTCATCCACCTAACTACAGTTATTTTCCACCGGTTGTTGAGTCCATAAAGTTGACGTCCTTGTCAGCGTACACAGTTGATGTATGTTGTTTTGGTGCATGAGTTTAATTTAGTGGATGATATCTTCATCCAATGGCTGATCTTCTCTTATTCTAAGTGGTTTTAACTTTGGATGCAGTTTTTATAAGGCATAAAAACAAGGTAAAGCCCCACCTCGTATCCTCACTCCGAAAGCACTTTGGGCATAAAAAATATCCGTGATTATTCTAAAATCAATTTTCAACATCAATAATGAAATTTGAAGCTAAAAAAAAAATACGGATATTAGGATCCATGATAACTTATGTTTAGAGCGAAATGGATAGTCTAGATAATGTATTATAATATACACTATTTTTAAGACTTGAAATTCTAAATGTTTTTGTAACCTAATGGTCAAGGTCAAGATTATTGATTTGAATATTTTTTGATGCCAAAAATGTAAATTTCAGTGAATTTTGAAGTGATGATTTACTTATTTTTGATAGGGGTGTAGCGCTTCAATGCCACAAATCGTATGATGACTTAAAGATCTAGTTTTTATGATTAGTTATGAGATTTAAAATTTGAAAATACAACCGATGGAGGAGATTTATAAAATATTTAAAAATATTGAAAAATAGATCAGCTAGATAATTTGTTACAAGATGCACTATTTTGAAAGGGTTGATGATTCATATTTGTTACATGATATGCTAACAAGTTGGTATAAAGCTCCCATGATAATAATTCATTATTTTGAAGAGTTGAAATCTTTTTTTTTTTTTTCAAATCTACATACCTTAACCTAGAGATATCAATTGGAGGGTTCTCCAACTTCAAAACACTACTTTAGTTTAATAGTATAAGCTTTCAACATTACATAACTTTTTTCAGAAAAAAAAAAATTAAAAGTAAAGAAACAAAGGAAGAGAAGACAATAAAAAATGAAATTTTAAATTTAGAAACATTAACCTGTTTGATTTGAGCTGTTCAAATTAAAGGCCATCAAAATAATCTACTATTCCCTTAGATTTATTTTCCATCCTTTTTAGTACTCATGATGCGGTCAAGATCATAGACCTCTCAAATTTTAAATCAAATATCCAAGTCTAATTCCACTTCTAAAGCTGGGACACTGAAAGAAAACGACTGCACCTGAGCTTTTTTCATAAATAAGGCTACTGATCTCTCTCTCTAAGATTCAGATCTCTCTCTGTCTCTTTCTCTCTCTAAGATTCAGAGTGGCTTTGCCGCGTTATACAAGACAGAGGGTGTCAGAGCATTTACCCGCCCCACCTATCCTTTATAACAAAGCATATCTCTCTCTCTCTTCCCCTTGCCGTCTTCCCCCAACTTGCAACCTGCAATTCCCATTTTTTTCTTTCTCTCTCTAATGTCATGGATTTAAAGCAAGAGAATCGAAGTCCGTAGCCAAGGGCTTAGCAGATGCAGCAACCCAACACTCATTTGGCGAACGCGCCATGCTCTGAGCTCGCACCAGAAGAATGCCTCGACACCATACAAAACCTCATTTCGATACTCATCCTCGCCTGCCTCCCCCTGAAAGTGTTTGTGGGGCGATGGCAGACCATCCGCACTCGCCTCGACCACCTTCAAAACCTCGCTTCTCAGGTCTCCGACTGCCCTCACTGGCACGAAAACGCCTTGCTCGCCGATCTGCTCCACAAAATCCTTTCCACCCTGAATCAAGTCTCGGATTATGTGAAGAGTTGCTCTGAGATGGCGTACTCGGGCAAGCTTTTGATGCAGAGTGATCTCGACATGGTTGCCGCGGCGCTTTCAGAGCATTTGAGGGACTTGGATGTGCTTCTGAGGAGTGGTGTCTTGCGACAGTCAAGTGCGATTGTGCTGTCGATGCCTGTAGCTGAAGCTGCGAACCAGGATGTCGCCTTCTTTGTTCGTGACCTCTTTGCGAGGCTCAAAATTGGCGGGCCCGACTTCAAGCGCAAGGCCCTCGATTCGCTGATCGAGCTTTTGGCTGATGACTGTAAGCGAGGGACTGTGGTTGCGAAGGAGGGGGATGTTCCATATTTGATCAGGTTATTGGATTCAGACCAGGCTTGCATAAGGGAACAGGCGGTGTCAGCTGTGGCGCTTTTGGCTGAAAATGAGGCTGGTCGGCAGAGCTTGTTTGTGGAGGGCGGCCTCGGCGGCTTGGTGCGGGTCCTGGAAACATGCAGCCATGTTGCGAGAGAGAAGGCGGCATCTGCCATTGAAGCCCTCACAAGCGATCCTGAGAATGCGTGGGCTCTCTCTGCATATGGTGGGCTGAGTGCATTGATCGAGCTCTGCAGCTCGGGCTCGCTGGCTGCCCAGACCAAAGCAGCCGGCGCTCTTCTTAATGCCGTGAATTATGTGGAAGACGTGCGCCTGAGTATGGCTGAGGAAGGAGAGTCCACAGTGTCTCTGCTGGTTGGTTTGCTGGTTTCCGGGACGCCCTTGGCCCGACAACACGCAGCCGAGTGCTTATATATTCTTATCTCCTCCATCTCTACTGTAAATCTTCGTGAGATGATCGTGCGTGATGGCGGTGGCGGGGTTCAAGCTCTGCTCCAGCTCTTGCATGAAGCCCCAACCCCCCGGGCTCAGGAGGTCGCACTAAATGCGATTTCAGCTCTCTCTGCGCCTCCTAGTCCCACTGCCCGTGCTCTAGTCTGCTGCCATGGGTTCCTAAAGCAACTCAGCGAGCTTCTCAAGGGCGCAGGAGGGGTCTGCGTGCAACACGCAGCGGCACTCACTGTTGTCAACTTAGCTGCTGTGAGCGACGATGCGAGATCCACATTGCGCGAAGCCGGATGCCTGACACCCTTGGTGAAGATGCTGGAGGCCAAGGCCGAGGAGACACAAGAGGCAGCCACCGAGGCTCTGGTCGCACTCTTGGCCACACAGGGCAATCGGAGGGACTTTGTGAAAGATGAGAAGAGTCTGGGGAAGTTGGTGCAGTTGTTGGACCCTGGGTACCAAGGGGTGTGCAAGAGGTTCCCTCTGGCTGTGTTAACGGTGCTGAGCAAGAGCAAGAGTAGCAGGAGAAAGATTGCAGCAGTAGGGGCTTGCCAGCATTTACAGAGGCTGGTGGAGATGGAAGTTGCAGGGGCCAAGAAGGTGATGGTGAGAATCACAGGTGGGAGGATCAGGAACTTGTTAACTGGAGCATGGAAGAATTATTGACTCATTGAAAGGTACCAAAAATTTGGTTCTATTTTTCAGCTTTTTTCTGTTTTGCCCTTTGTTTTTTTGTTGAATTTTTTACTGTTTTGATTTTGGTTATTGTCTTGCCACCTATTGTTCTGATCTTGCCACCAAATATATATACACATTTCCATCACCAACTTGGATTAACATTGATGATTAGTACATATTTGGTGGCACTATCAGAGCCAGTAGGTGCCACTAACAGATTAACAGACCTTATATAGTCTTTTTGTTAGTTTATTTGAAATTTCATTATTGCTTTGAATTTGGAATGGACATCGGACTCGGTCGCGCTGTGCGGGTTCTGAGAATATACAGGAAATCACCTAGGTCTAGAACAGAACCGTTGATTTGCTTCTGTAAAACGTTTTTCTTCAGTAAAAATGCTGATGGCTCTCTGTGCCGGTTCTGAGAATATATAGGAAATCACCCAGGTCTAGAAGCGAACCATTGATTTGCTTCTGTAAAACGTTTTTTTACTGTAAAAATGTCGATTCACCGATTCAGACGTTGGTTCACTGTTTTTGCACATGTTTTTTTTCCAGATCACTATCACTGTTTTTGCACATGTTTTTTTTCTAGATCACTATCACTGTTTTTGCACATGTTTTTTTTCCAGATCACTATCAGTAAAACGGCGATCCAGGCCGGTTTTTTGCAATGCCCGATCCTAGTCATTGAAAGAAACACAAATTTTTGTCTATCCTCTTGTATTCTTTACGTCTTCTTTATTAGGGGTTTTTGATGCCTAAATAACGTTCTCATCTTTCTTGTATGATGTTTGTAGAGATATAAATATAGCTTCAAATTAGACTAAGAAGAGTCCACATGACTCTCTCTCTCTCGAAAGAAGTATTGAGCTTTAAGAGGCTCGAGGCTCAAGCTCCTCCTACTTACTTTCTTTTACACTTTTTCCTGAACAAAAGCCCAGCGTCCTCCTTTTGCTTTAATTTGATTTTGATGAAACACTCAAATCTCTTTTTTAAGGCTTTACTTTTAATTTCATTTCTTTATGTTTATAAATATCATATGCAAAAACTGAGTTGTGGTCTTTTCTTGCATAACTCACAGGTTATCAACTGCAATGGATAGAAGAAAACGAAAACCTCTACAACCACCATACACAAAACACAACACCCTATACTTTTTTTTTAAATTTCTGATAAAGGATCACAAAAAATATTCTCCTTTTATTTGTAGATCTATTCTTTTTAACCTGCTCGGTTGCAAGGAGTGACAAATTTTTTTTTTTTTTTTTTTCTGTTTTGTTTTTGTATGTGCATAATGGTTGATTGCTGAACCTCCTGTACTCGGGAGAAGGAGAGTCCAAAAAAGCCATGGTTTTTAATGTTTGGCTGAGTTTGTGTAATCTTATTGGTTTAAGGGTCAATACTTACTAGTGTTGTTTGTATCTTGGTTGCTTCCACAATGGACTTTTCTTCTTTTTGTTATACAACATTTGTGTTACCGATTTAAATAAGTGTACATTTGCTCCTTTTCCTAGTTTTGCACTTCTCATCAAAATGCTTACCTTTTTTAGATAGCATTTAACCTCTCTCTCGGCCCATGTAACAGCAATCCCTTCTCTGGGACCCTCTGTAACAGAATGGTGTTCTAAAAAATTAGGGCTTGGGCTACAAAATGTAGCCCAAAGATTAAAAGCCTGCGCTAGGGCTGGCGGTCCCGTTACCTGCCAGCCGTGCTCTATATAACGCAATCATTCCCCCTCTCTCTCATGGAACAGGGTGCGGGGACGGTTCCAACTGAAAGAGAGGCCGAAGCACATGGAGAGGGGCGTATCGTTGATGGCAATGAATAAGGGGTGTGTGGTGGCCCATGGTCACATGAGCCCTCAATCTTCCCTCTCTCTCTCTAAAAGAAAAGGGAAAGCAAGCTTTCTGAGCATATGAGCTGATGAAAGGCATTGAAGATGCTCTCCCTCATTCTCTCTCTCACACAAGCTGTAAAGCTGGCTTGTCCATCATTGTGTGCACTTGCTCCTCCTTTTTCACTTTCCAACTTTACCTATGGCCTTATATTGATTATAATTAATGTGTGGTAGATACCCATAAATAAAAAATAAACAAGGGTGATGAAGGAGAAGCATGCCGTGTATTTTTTCAATGACATAATCAACGCCTGTTTTTCCGTGGAAATGTAAGGCGTTTTCCTCGAGGCAAGGGGAAGTGAGCGTTTGTTTAGCTTCGTATTTATTTGAGCTCATGTGCTTTCTATTGGCTTTTTCAACTTAGTGGGGAACCTAAAGAAATCACAAGAAGGGCGTCGGGACTAAATTGCTTTGACTTCTGATGAATGTTGGAGTGATTAAGTCGTTTGCGGGAGCAGGATCGTTTACATTTGTCAAAAAGGAGAGCATTGGTTTCTACGAGCAAGTAATTCATATGCTATTTGTCTTTCTCTTGAAAGGGGTGAAATTTTGATCCTTTGCTTGGAAGCTGCATTAGTTGAGGGTGGACACGTGTTTTGAAAATAAGAAGGGGCTGTAATTTTATAAAAATTGTAGATCACATTTTTTACTTTAGAAAAAGAGAAAGAGTTCATTATTAAGCGAGAGTTAAGGGATGAACACGTGTCGTGAAAATAAGAAGGGGCTGTAATTCTATGGAGATTGTACATTGCATTCCTTATTTTAGAGAGAGAAAAAATATTTTATAGAAAAAATTACAAAAAAACCCCAAGACCACATTTTCTATGCAATTTATCCCCAACTTAACTTTTTGTCTTACTGTTTTTTTCAAACCAAACTTTCTATGCAAATATCCTCAAGGAAAAAGTTCATTTTTTTAGACGAAAATGCCTTTTTCGTACACAAAAATCAGTTTGGCAAGATTTGACGTTGACTTTTGGACTCCAATAGCAATTGCCGAAGCGCACCATCACATTGTCAGAGCGCACAAGTGCCGGACCGCCCTTAAGACAACTACCAGACCAAAATCGAGTACTGTCGGACCGCCTTTTACATAGTGTCGGAGCCCTGAAATCCAGTAACATCTACTGTTGACCGCCCTTTGTAATTGTCGGATCGCACTTTGTACAATGCCCGAGCCCTATTGTCGGACCACACTTTACATAGTATCGCAACCCTACTGTCGGACCGCACTTTACACAGTGTCGAAGCCCCGGACCGCACTTACATAATGCCGGAAAGGGATATGGAAACAATCTCCCTCTCCCTAAAACTACTCTACCCTTCACGTATAAACTATTCTCTCTCTCTCTCTCTCTCTCTCTCTCTCTTCTGCTAAAGTAAGGAGTGTGATCTACAATCTCTATAGAATTGGGCCCTGCATATGAAATAGAAAAAATTACAAAAAAACCCCATGACTACACTTTCTATGCAACTTACCTCCAATCTATCTTTTTCTCTCACTTTTTTCCCAAAATACACCTTTTATGCAATATACCCTGCCAACAAAATAAAAAAATGCCTAAACTACCCTCCCTTACTCTTAAAATTTGTGCGTGAAGAATAGAGAAAAGATAATCTCGACCCGTTTTTCGTCTTTTTTGGATAATTCAGTGGGGATGACGAGCACCTTACCCGTTTTTTAAATCATTAGTGGTTTTTGAAAACGTTAGGTGAAAATGGAAGCTTAGACCTTAGTTGGGGCACAAGTAGTGCTACCACCACGACCGCAACCCCGTTCTCCTAATGCTTTATGCGTGAAGCCTAGAGATTTTAAGAAGAGATAGAGAAAATATAGATTTTAAGAAGAGAGAGAGATTGTTTCCATAACTTAATTTGGCTAGGGTAAAGGGGTGGATACGTGTTGCGAAAATAAGAAAGGCCCTAATTCTATAGATATTGTAGGTCACGTTCTTTACTTTAGGGGAAGAGAGAGAGAGAATATTTTATACAAAAATGGGTGGCCATGGAGCCCTCATACATGCTAGTTTTTCTCTCTTTAATCTTTATCATAAATATTATGTTTATCACAAAATAAGGGCTTTTTTTAGAAAGATAAGAGTCATCATCTAATCGGTAGATGACAACTACCCCCTGTTTGAACACATTTTTCAGCACCTTGGGTACACGATGTGAAACAAAAGAGAAGTCGATCAATAAAGCCTTGACATAAAGTGGAATTCCTAACAGTCTCAAAATTACCCCAGAATGAGTTAAAATCTTCCTTAGCACTCCAAAAGGCCACTTGCCGAGTTTCGTCGCAATCCGACATGTCTAAGGCAGTGTAGACAAAGAAAACATTTCGGAAAGATCAGCCTCTAGTTCCCTAAAACGGACCCCGTAACTAGAACTCTATTTTCGGTGCATCAAACAGTTGTGAGACCATCGTCATTGGATCCGACACGGCCAAAAACCCCTTTGAGTCAAGTTTCGGCTTAAACGGACGTCCCAAGACAAAGTTATGGATGAAACATTAAAAAGGGGTAGGATGAACGTTATTCCTGGGCACCAATCTCCATTAAAGAAGACTGGTTTGCACAATCATGAATAACAACTTTGAAGACTCATATCTCACTCTCCTTGAGTCGGATCGAGCTCAAATTTTGCGAGCGGGTTCGTCTTGTCAAGACGAGCGTTTTGATATGTAGCACGACCCGTGACGGCTCCCGAGCAAGTAGAAAATAGGTACACGACTCACTCGAGTGGCCATATCACGACGCTCGCATGACAGATCAACACGAAACTAGTTCCATTGCATGCGTAAGGTCTGAGGCTATGTTTGGTACGAACCTAACATATGATGAACGGTTGGATTTCACGCCCGAAGCTGATAAAGTTGTAAATTCCTGCTGTCGAAATTCAAGATTTTGGCCAAAAACCCTAGATGACGAAATCTTCGTTCGGGCACGAAATCGAGTTGCGTTTGTTGCAACGCGATCGTGACGTCATGCTCAGTGCAAATCAGTGAAGAAATCAAAGAAAACATCATGAAATAAGCACACTATCGATCAGAAGTTTTCAAGATTCATACAAATTTTAAGTTGTGTAATCGTGGCCTAAAAGCGCGATCCGTTGTTTGAAGTTGGTATCAAATCAATCATCATGCCTTGCTCAACTAGAAAGTAATCATCATCCGTCCAAACGAACATCGGAGAAACTCACGTTCTAGGGCAGCCGCATGGACTATTTTGAAATTCCATGTATCGTTGAGCAGGGGCAAAACAATCATTTTGCATCATTTTTTAGATTTTTCTTTAATTCAAATAAATTGTAGTTATCATCAATTAGGCTAGATTTTGAGCATCCACTCATGTTTGGGCCCTATTCTATAAATACATGCTAAACCTACTTGTAAAGGGATCTTTGAGTTTTCAATCTCATGAATAAAATTTGAGAGTTTCACATTAAAATTGTGGGTATGTCTTGGAGAGAGAGAGAGGAGAGAGAAGAAAAAGTTGGTGCCCTTTGATGAAGCTAACTTTCTCTCTCCTCTCTTCTCTCTTTCTATCCTCTCTCTTTCTCTCTCCTCTTCCCTTTTCTCTCTTTCACTCTCCTCTTCCCTTATCTCTCTTTCTCTCTCCTCCTATCTTCTCTTTCATTATCTCTCTTATTTTTCTTCTATGTCTTTCTTTCTCTTTGCACTTTCCTTTCTCTCTTCTCCCCAGCGATGCATGACAATGTTCATCACCGAGCAAGACATCCTCTTTCGTCTCTTAATCTCCTGGAACATACACATTGAGCCGGGCCTTAACCCGAGTGGCGGGCCGGGCTTCTATCCAAGTTCCTTTATCTCTTTCCCTCTGTCATGGACGACAGAACCTCATCGTTGTCAATGTTTTCTTCCTTTGTCTCTTTCCCTCTGTCATGGATGACGACACCCCATCGTTATCCATGTTTTCTTCTCTTTTCTCTCTCCTCAGTCATGAATGGCAGGATTCCATCACCATCCATGTTTTCTTCTCTTTTCTCTCTCCTCTGTCATGGACAAAAAAAGCCCATCGCTATCCATATTTTCTTCTCTTTTCTCTCTCCTCTGTCATGGACAGCGGAACCCCATTGTTGTCCATGTTTTATTCTCTTTTCTCTCTCCTCTATCATGGATGGCAAAACCCCATCACCGTCCATGTTTTTTTCTCTTTTCTCTCTCCTCTGTTATGGATGGTGGAACCCCATCGCTGTCTATGTTTTCTTCTCCTTTCTACCTCCCCTTTCATAGACGGTGGGACCCCATCACCATCTAACCTCATCACCATTCATGTTTTCTTGCCTTCTCTCTCCTCTGTCATGGATGGCAGAATCCCATCGCCGTCTATATTTTCTTCTCATTTCTCTCTCCTATGTCATGGACGGTAGAACCCCATCGCCATTGATTAGGTTCCTCGATCTCGCCCTCAAGATCTGAATGATCTGGTGGTACGCGTCTTAGGTTTCGGGGGAACCCAATACTTGAGATCGCTCTCTTGGGAACCTTGCTCAAGAACAAGGATAGGTGGACCAACCGATGAGAGGGGAATTTAAGGTGGGTTCGAGACTTGCTCGGGCTAGCTCACGTGGGTGCCCTCTTAAATCACAAAGAAAGCCTCTCAGTCATAAAACTGGTTCAGAACGGTCTCCCTTGGCTTGTATTCTCCTGTTTCTGCAATCGCATACATATGGTTAATTTTACAAGACACGTGGGACAAAAGAGACCCCACCTTGTCTTTGAGTGAATGTACTCAGGTTTGTACATCCAAGAGAAGAAAGGGTAAGGAAATAGCTGAAAGAAGAGGAAAAAGGTAGATCAGAGGAGTTTTGGCTAGGTAGCGAGACTAACAGAGCAACTAGATCAGTAGGTGGTTGACCCGGCGTGGTAGCTAGATGGGTATAGTAACTAGACCGACACAACATAAATGCTACTAGACCCCAGAACAATCATCAGTCGGCCTGACATAATGGCTAGCTTATCGTGGCAGTAAAGCGGACACGGTGACTAAGACTGGCTCAACAACAATACTGCTAGACGACAAGACTACCATGGCAATATTTGTCTCAGCCTCTGTTGGTCAAACGAGAGAGAGAAGAAAGAAACGAGAGAAAGAGAGACATGCACAGTACTACTGATGTCATGCATGGGAAAAGAAGAGAGGAGGAACAGAGGGAGATAAAAAGAAAAAGGGAAGAAAGAAAGAAGAAGAAAAGGAGTGAGAAGGAAGGCGAGAGAACCTTAACGG